GGTTTGGGGGGAAAGTGTTCAGTACAGGAGCAAAGTGATAACACTGTTGTTAAAAGGTGTTTATTTCCATGTTATTTTCTTAAAGTCTATTATGTAGATGTAGGTAACTACACCAACAACTAGGAGGCTTGAGGGATGGGCTGGAAATATCATTCATCTTTTGGTAGCTTCATTAATGGTAGCTGCCTTATACCTGTAAGTAGAAAATGTGTAATGTAATTCATTTTTGAATCCACCTTGGTTTTGAGAGACCATCAGGACAGCAATGGCAGTTTCCTCATTGTTAGCAGCTGTGTTTGGTGCAGCAGAGGTTAAAGTAGCCTGCAACAAGAGGGGGTGCTCTGTTGCTCCAGTTCAGATGTAAAGGGAGACCTGGGGTGGGCCTAGGGAGAATACAGTTTACTCAAGCTGGGAGTTGTCCTGCTTTTAGCAGAGGAAGGGGGATATGTCCAGCCCTCACTTTAAGCCGTGTACATAACCTTGGAGCTCTGCAGCTTACCCAAGACCATTTGTGGAGCCTCACGACAAACTGAAGTCTTCTCTAGTCCTATTTTCACCTGATAATGTCAGTGAGTGGACTGAGGGGATGTGTGTACTTCTTTGTGAGAGAAATGTCAGCATTGTTTGTTTTCATTATACTGTGCATGAATGTTACGTGCTTTCCTTAGTGGTCCTTTGTGCTTATCAAATTGCCCACACCAGTAAAACTACATACAACACTAAATATACACAGGAAAGTATATACATATCAGACTGTCATACACAGACAGCAGCTCAATGAAGATACGTTTAACTCATTCAAAGTAATTTTTTTCTTGATTGATTCCTGGAGGCTACTCCCCAACAGCCTTATTTCCAATGTGGAGAGGGGGCAGTTCAGTGGTTAGGAATTACTGCCACAAACAGGAAACATTTCATGCTTTCAGCTCACAGTTACTAGCGGAGGGAAAGTTTGTGGGGCCCAGGGCAAGAGCTACTTTGTGGCAGAAAAAGAAAGCGGACATGCCTTTACCTTAGACCAATTCACCCTGTTCACAGTAGAAAGCAGGCAGTAATTGATTATATGGAAAGTAAACTACTAGAATATTTCACTGGATTAGACTATTATGTATCAATAAAAGCTGAACAAATGATGTGGCTTTACCAATAATAAATGTGATTAAATTCCAAATCAAATGTACAACTTGTGTGACTCTTGTTCTAAAACACTGGTGCAATGTTATAAGGAAATGCATTGTCTAAATCTCCTTTTAATGGGGAAAAGATGCCAGCAATACTTTCAGCCATGCTTTTTGACTGGATTTTAGTTATAAGCAAAAAATTTTTCCCTTGGAGAGGACACTTCTAAAAGAGTAATTAAACATCTGTAACCATGTATTTTATGCATGTGTTATGTTGGTCATGGATTTGTCAATACACATATTCATAACTGTTATCCACAAGAACCTTTAAAATGTATTTTGTCTGAAATATGGAAAATACAAAGGTTGTTTGACAGCTAAGATTACTGACCATTGCAAATGTGTCTCCTGAATTGCTGTGTAGTTTGTTAAATTAGGAAATTACTAGAATCAAATTTCTAGCAACATCTTCAAAAAGGTGCCAGACCTTGCTGCCTTTCTGTTGAATTACAGAATGCTGTTACTTAGATAACTTCCTGTCATTTACCAGCAGGATCTGTTTAGTGGCTGCTGCTGTCAGTTTTCTTTTTTTTTCTGCCTTTCAGGGTAGACAATGCAGTGCTCCTCTTTCATGAGAAATGTTGTGCTTTGCCTCCTGCGTGATGTGATCTCCTAGCTCTGTGAACTAAAATTGAAACGTGGTTTATTTCTTCTTTTTTTTTTTGAATAAGAAGATGGGAAATTCTTATGCTGGACAACTCAAGACAACCAGGTTTGAAGAAGTATTGCATAATTCTATTGAGGCCTCTCTCCGCTCAAACAATTTAGTTCCCAGACCAATCTTTTCTCAGCTGTATTTGGAAGCCGAGCAGCAACTTTCATCACTAGAAGGTAGGAAATCTTGGCATTTATATTTCTGTTCAAATAGAACTATGAACCCTTTCCTTGTTCACCTAATGAACAGCATGAAACTTTCAAGTTAAATACAGATACAAAAGTATTTTAAGTTGTTTGGCTATTTTATGTTCTATGCAGCCTCCTCCTTCCCCCAAATCTAATGCAATTTTGAAAAAAAAGAACTATTTGAAGAAAATAATTATAAAATGCCTTTTGTTTTTACAAAGTAAGGCTCTATTTTTGCAAACACTTATGGACATACATAACTGGAAGCACTATGAATTCACTGACTAAACACAGGAGGATCAGAGCTTTATCTGGTAATTTACCTTTATAAAACAGAAAAAAATACTATTTTAGACAGTTGTAAAAATATAACAGATTTACAAATGAGAGATGCTAAAATAATTTTGTGAATGAAAGAAGCAAAAATATTTGCAGCCTTTCTATTAAGTATGCTAAGAAGATTTTATGATTAATTTTGGCATGACGGTGTTTTTAACTTGATCCCCATTTTTTAAAGGTATTGACGTAAGCCTTTGCCTAGTGTTCCATGGTATGGACTGATGGTTTATGTCTTGGATTTCTGTGATTTATTTATAAATTGGTGGAGCTGCTTTGTTGCACTCTCTTTTACTCATTTTTGCAATGTTGTTGTACCTGTGTCAGTCTGAGAAACTGGAGAAACAAAGTGGGTGAGGTTATATCTTTTTTTGGACCAACTTCTCTTGTGGAAAGAGACAAGCTTTCAAACTACACAGATCTTTGTGGTCCAATAAAAAATATTACCTCACCCACCTCGTCTCTTTCTTTTACTCATTCATTTTTCTCTTTAGAGGTGGAATAGTTAAGATCAGGGGTGGGGAAACTTTTTTGAGTTGGGGGCCCTTGACTCACAGAAAAATCAGTTGGAGGCCCTCACTGTGGCCCCCAAATGAGGACAAAGATACTCCCCACATTCTCCTTGCACACCAGAGCCTAGGGGGGCCCAGCCTAATAGATTTTGTGTGCTCCAGCCCATGGAGAGGCAGCAGGGAGACGGGGGCACCAGCACAGACTCTCCAATGTTGGGGAAGAGGGTGTCTTGAGCCTCAGGGGTCACATCCGGTCAAGCCAAGGACTGCATCCAGCTCCTGGGCCTGAGGTTCTCCACTCCCATTTAGATGAAATGTGTAGATTTGACAACCAAGCTAATTACAAAAATTAGTCTGCTAATATTTAACATCAAGTCTAGTTAGATGCTAAACTGTGTTGTTTGCAGAGGGTCTGATAATGTGCTGACAATATTAGCTTGCTGGTGCAAATATTTTCTCTGGTTTTCAACTAGCTACTGGAGTAATGTTGCATTTGTTTCCTCTGTGTGTGTGTGTGTGTGTGTGTGTGTGTGTGTCCTTTTGTATCCCACAAAACACAGTGTAGGTATATATGGAATGCAAAAAATAATATAGTATGTACTAAAATAAGTATTCAAAAAATCAATTCAGCCACTAAAAACAAAATCATTTTGAAAATATTAAACACTTGCTAATACCTCATTGAATACGTTGAAAAATATTCCATTTAGAAATAGATTTGCTTATATCTCATACACATTTAGTTTTTCCTTCCATTCTTTACTGCTAGCTAAAGACATTTGCATGAAAATATAATCTCTGAGTATCCATCTGCTCCTGCTGCTTATTCTCCACATGAAGTGATTATCCTCTATTGGGAATTTCATAAATGTTTCCATGGCAACTAACTGTGATGTCACAAAGTGGGTTATGACATCAGCTGGGAAAGATGCTGCAGGAACAGATGCATTGTTGAGGGACAAAGGTAATTTTCACACGTCTGTAGCTCCTTTTATTCAAGGCTCTTAAAGGGCTTTACTGACCTTCCAGTCTGATCCTTCCCCCCCCCCCCCCCCAGTAAATAGGAACAGAATCAGGCCTCAATTAAATAAACCTCACAAACCTCTGCCTAGAACATTCCCTTTCATGCATATATCAGAAGATGGAAACTCTGTATGGTTTGCCTGATAGAGTTTTTCCTGAGCTGTTGTATTAGATGGTTGAGGTTGCAGTCTCATATCGTACATCCAATTCCAACTCCTGAGAACAAATAGGAGTTTCCTCCTCTAGGAATCATGAATCCCTAAGACTTGAGAGATGGAGGGTAATAACTTTGAAGCAATGGACCATCCTTGTGGTGGCACTATGCCACAACACCAACACTCTCTCTCTCTGTCAGTGGTTCAAGAAGTTGGTTGAAGAATGTTTTTCTGAGGTTATCCTGAAGCTCACAGTCTGCATTTTTTGGTGCCCTGTTCACCAGACCACTTGGCAGCAAAACCAACCACTATGAAATCAGTCAGGTTTTTTTGTTCCTGCTGTTGTTACAGTTTTGAAATTGTTATTTTAAAAGGGACACCATGAACTTGAAATATAGTTAATTTAAAAATAAATGAGTTGAAAGTAGTTTCAGGTTCCCCTAATTCCAGGTTTTTCTGGTTTATATAATCATTTTGCTCTTTAAAATAAATATTTTTCTTTCCCCTGTTGCTATGTGAAAGAGCTTCACAAATAATAGGGCAAAGTGCCTATGCAATAAAAATAGACTAGTGTTATTGCAATTTATAATTATATATTACAATTTATACCTAAAATCCTATAACTATAAAAGAGATTATAGCCTATATTATGCAAGAAATCAAACTGAATGATCACAATGGTTCTTCTGAACTTAAATGTTTATGCCGAATATGCACAAAGTAAACCAGTTGAAATTAAGATTTTCTTTAGCCTATAGATTTTTAAATTATCTTTTCAAATAATGCTATGTCTAATTTACAACATTTTTAACTACAGTTTTTGTACACCGTTTTGATAACAAAATAGAATTGGATAACTCCTTGTTACTATTATAATATTATTCAACAAAAATATTTTCAACAAAATATATTTTTTCTGTATTCTAAAAGTTTGTTTAGACATTTTCTAGGCAGTTATTGCCTTGTTTGCTGCTGTAACAGTTTTACAGAAATCTGTTTGCCTTCCTTAATCATCATATCCATAATCATTTTGGGGATATTATATTAAATAAACTAAAAACTGCTTGGGTCCATCAGCACTATTTGTCTCTCTTTTGTGTGTGTGTCTTTGCTTATGTAGCAATGCATTCCCTCTCTTCTCCTGTATTATCTCATTCAGCTTTTGAAACTTTCTGAAAATATTCTTTAAATGCTGATTCTTTAAATGATCCTGCGGTCAGCTTGCTGGGTTGTCTAAAAGCCTAGAGAGTTTGCTGTGACCTCTCACCTTTATCTTGCCTTTCTAATGGCTAGCTATTAAAGTTTTCTTCTTTTTGTGGCTTTTGGAGCTTGGAGAATCCTTTTCCAAAGAGTTAGTAAAGTGACATACAGGCATTTGTTAGGATGGCTTACTGGCTGTAGTAGATTTGGAGAGTATTTGGCTGGTGCTAATTTAGATTTCTTGAGGACATTTTTGAGCAGTAGCTTGTCTGCCTCTGTTACAGTATGGACATGTTTTTCTCTTGCACCTTAGAAGATTTGGAGATAGATTCTCTTCAGGTGTAATTCTGTATGGGCCCATTGAAGGAAGTAAAGTTGTGCCATTTTACACTACCTGATGAACTAGACCTGTATATTTCCCCCATTTTGACATTGATGGGGACAGTCTTATAATGTGTGCTCTACCTTTCTTATTGATGTGGGTGTGGGTCTCCCCTTCAGGTTGCTCAGCTGGCATCAGAGCTTTTACTGCCTCTAACTAGAGATGTCCAGGGTACTGAGCATTTCATAAGGTAAAATCTATGTAGCTCCTAAGGTGCACAGGAGAGAGTCTTGTCCCTGCATAGAGCCTCCATAAAGTGTGTGATTTAAGGCTTCCCAGCCGTGTCCATCTAATGCCAACAGGCAGAACCAAGCCTGGGACCTTTAGGGCTTAGTGCATGCGCCTGTACTGCTTGAGCTACAAGGCATCAAACTCCCAGCTAAGGCTGTAGAGCAAGCTTATTTTTTCTTTCTGTAAGTGATTTAAGTGCATGAGATAGTGAACCACACCTAGTAGGTGTGTGGGTTACATCTAGTCAAGTGGTCTCACGTTACATAATGCATTTAAAATCCTTTCTTCTTTAAAAACAACTGAAGCTCCATAAAGGCTGGTAAAAATTGGCATAGTTCCATTGACCTATACTGATTTGCAACGAATCTCTGGCTGTATGCTAGCTTACTGAACGTTAAAGTCAAGTGTATGGTTGAGCACTTAGCAGTAAAAAAATGGATACTGTTAAAGCTGCAAGAGCAATGTTAACTCTGCCCCACTGGGTGTAATGTTGACAGGCAAAACTGAACCTGGAACCTGTGAGCTTACATGATCTAAAAGGCAGCTGCCTGTTAGCTAAGGCTGTAGAGTAGACTTATTATTGTCTCAGTAAGTGGTCTTGGTGCCACTATATGGGACAGTATCCCACACTCGGAAGATGTGTGGGTTACAGATGCATTACAATAAAAGGCTGCATTCTCCATTCTGAAATTCATGCCCACTCTTCAGGTGTAGAAATGAATTCACATGGTGAAAGGGAGAGGAGAATCAGTAATTCTGTGCTTACATGCTGTTGTTTAAATCATGTGCTGTTTCATATATTTTTCTGAACCCGTATAGCATCTTCTAGAGCTATGCACACTCTGTGTATGCCCATACAAGCAGAGCCCATTAAAGTAATTCATTTTGAAAGCATGCAGAAAACACATCTTGTACATCATATGAGAGATTAGCTTCTGAATCCTGCACCTCTACATCAATGGCAGTTGATCTCAGTGGGAGTAGGCCTGGGACTTATGTAGCATAGTAATAGTAAAATTAATTGACATATACAGTCCATCAAAGGGAGAAGGGGGGATACGATGCCCTTGCTCACATTGTCTAATAACCTAGTAGACTTCAGTAGGACTGTTTCTGAAGTAAGGTGCTATTCAACATTAACAAAGGAATTACACTCTGGATCTAGGTTGGCAGGAAAATTACCTTTGCAGTTAATTGGTTCATCCCCTGCTATGCACCTAAGGGAGTCTATGTTGCTGGTTGAAAATAAATGTTATGGTTATTGATTTAGGCCTTGATCCCAGTGATCTGCACTCATACATGACATTACTCATGTGAGTATAGTCCAATTGAGTAAAATCACACATGCGCTTAAGAGTTTGCAGGACTGGGGGTTAAATTATTTCTTTTAAAGAATATTTAGGAAGAGGACAACCTATTAGGCGAAATTTCAGTCAATAAAGATACACTGGTTCACAATGACTAAAAATAGTGTAAGCAGAAAAGACTGAAAATTGCACTGAGGCTGTAGAAATAATTGTATACAGTTGGTAGCAATAATGGCATAATACACTGCAGTACTTGTGAAACATCTGATCATGTACTTCAGCTAGTGTCAATCAGTAAAGCTCTCTTGACATAATGGAACTATACTAGTTTAGCTCAGATCTGGCCCTGTAACACACAAGGGACAGAGGTAAAGTTGAGCAGCTTCTTAATGGTGCTGTTTCCTAATTTACAAGTGCTTCACTGTGGAACTTTAATCTTCTGTAGACTATTTTGTAACAAAATGGAAATATATTGCATAGACTGCAGATACTTTAAATACACCATTTTTTTTAATAATGCTGGCTGTTGTGTGTCAGGGTAGGCCCTTAAAGTTTTTCTGATGCACTGTGTATGTGTTTGTGATGGGTATCTACATTGCAACAAAAGATTTATAGGACCTAGTCACAGAGTCTAGATGAACTAAGATCTGACAAATGGAGATGGTCTCAGAGCCAAGGCTTCAGCCTGAGCCTATGCTGCAATTTTTAGCCTTGCAGTTCAGTCCTGCAAGCCTAAGTCAATGGAGCTGGACTCAGACACAGCACGGAGGGTTTTTCTTTGCAATGGAGACATTCTCTAAGAGCTCAGACACATAAACATGGGAAGAAGTTCTTTTACATTCAGATTTAAAATCTGATTTTGACTCATAATGGTGTGCAGTATGCTTGAAAACAAAGACAAGACACCCTAATTATGCCTGTTAGTGCAAAATGGGGCTGTCACTTATGTTGTACAGCTGCACATTTTCTTGTGGATTCCTTTCATTCTTAAGCTGAAAGCCTGCACAGCTCTCCTGTGTCTAAATCTCTGCTCCCATGTTTTGTTATACCAGTCTTTGCATTCCAGTGACAAAGGCTGCTTCACTTCTCTCTTTGTCCCCTCCTTACCTCTTGTCTTTGTGCCATCTCCCACGTTATCCTCTGTGCTTACCACCCTGCCTTTATCCCTGATCAGCAGGGGATCAGTTTTGCTACCCGTGAGTAAAGGTAAGCACATACTCAAATACTTTGTTGTCTTGAGGCTAGAGTGTTTGGCATCTTTTGGGGGTCAAGATTGCAAGAACCAACCTCTCTGCTTTCATATCACATCTTAAAATTCATTTATTGGCAAAACTCACAAATACTAACCCTGGAGCCATTATTTAAGGAGGGGACAAAGTGGGGAAGGAGGCGGTGGCTGACCTTTCTTATGGGATTTTCAGGGCCTCATCCAACAGTCCACTGAAATCAATTGAAAGACTCCCATTGACTTTGAGCTTTGGAACAGACATCCCTCCTCCATCACAGCAAGTTTTGTATAGTTCATTTATTTAAAGACTAAGATCCTTGGGGAAGGGAATGACTTTTTTGTTCTATTTCTTGTACAGCATCAAATATATGGTCAGTATGTCACTATTAATTAGGTACATAGATTTGTTTAGGCGAAAATACCAAAAACAAAGGTTAAGGGAGCTTTTGTGAGGACAGAGTTCTATTACTGACAACTCTAAGGTTTCAAATGTGATGAGTCAAGCTCCCTTAAAATCATGAGACAAGATTCCAAATCATGAAATGAAACAAAAAATGGGGGGCTTATTTTTTCCTGTTTTCTGAGATTTAAGTACATCTAAGTCACATTTTAAAGTTTTTCTCCACAATCACAAGGGCTAGAACCTTTTCTTTTTTAAATGCAAGTTGAAATTCTCATGTAATCACAGGATTCCAGGAGCTGAAGTTTTTAAATGGAAAAAAACAAACATTGTGAGATTTGGCAATATGGTGGTTCCTTGAAAAGACAATCCTTCTTTTATGAAGTGCTTGCTGTAACTGGGACACCGCTCATTCCCAGGATCAGCTATTGCCACTGCTATCTGTTCTTTAAATATAATTTGTCTGGTGATACTTTTGTAGCAGGCAGCAGAGTGGATAATGAGGAGGAGGAGGAAGAGGAAGAAGAAAGTTCAGAATCAAGTAGCCCTCCTCTCTCTTATCAGATGAAACCTCCTCCTGATGGCTGCTGCACTACTGATGGTAAGAAATTCACAAGACTCAAAGTTTGGTGACTGATCCAATGGCCTACTAAAGCAAACCTCCCACTTGTATCATTGGGAACCAGGTCTCAGTAAAGTGAACAGAATTGAGTCCAAACATCATAACAACGACCTTCCAAAATTGGGTATATAGAAAATTGTGGGCCTGTTGCAGTTACCTCTTTCTACCTCTTAGATAAAACTTGTGTGTTTGTTGTATCTTTCAAAAGAGAACTTCTATATCAGGATGATTAATATGTAGGTGAGGACTATGGTTGTAGCTTGTAACAGTCCAGTTTTAAAAAACTGAGTTTAATGTTGTTTCAGATCATATACCTGCTGTTGAATGTGCTGCCAACTTTGTGGTTTTATCACCATATTTTCTCCATTTAAAACAAAATTATTCCGTCCTTTCCTGTGGCTGGGAGAAAGAGATGAGAGACTGTCTCAAAATTGTGAAACTGCCCAGACACCAAGACTTAATATATCTAGTTCATGTATATGTTGTGCAAAATAGATGTATCACTACTGCAGAAAATTTTATTATTGCATTTCCTAATTTTTATTTATTCATTGTTTTTCTAGCTTTTGTTTATAACTTACTCAGCAGAAGGAAAAAAAATTGACACTGATGTTAAACTTGACATTAGTTTATTCAATAAGGAAATTGTGACGAATTAAGCAAAATGACCTTTAACCTCAGAAATATGTTGCATTTGTTTTTTCTAGGTTTCTGCCAGGCTGGTAAAGACTTGAGGCTGGTATCCATTTCCAATGATCAAATTGAGGTGCCTTCAGGGTTTTTACTTGTTGGTGCTAAATCGCCAAATCTGCCTGATCAACTTTTAGTGTGTGCTGTGGATAAAAGATTCTTGCCAGATGACAATGGGCATAATGCCTTGTTAGGTAAGTCATATATCTACTCTTATTGCAAAGTGAATTTGGGAGATCTTATTTCCATCACTTGTAGACAATAGTCCTCCCTGATTGCTCAAAGTACAATAACCTTTTAGAACTGGCTGTGTTTGCACTGGAAAGAGTACAGCGTGAGCCACTCCATTACTTATGCTACATCTCCTTTTATCTGGAGAGAATGCTGTGCCTCCAGCTGAAGGTTAAAGTCATTGTTAGCTCAGTTTGAATTACAGTTGCCTGAACTACACCTTGAATAGTGGAGCTATTTCTGCGCTGCTGCCTGTCTGTTACCTTTCTAAACACCGGCATTTACCATTCCCCTTCTCAGGTGGAGTTGCTCTTAGGGAATCATTGTGGCAGCTAAATGGAATGAATCCTACGATTCTGCAGTGTAATTGCTATTGTTACCTGGGCCACAGACATTCATTATCCTTGTCAGATTGTGATTCCTTTGGGACAGGGAGTAAGTCTTCCAATGTATTTGAACAGTCCCTCGAACAATGAGGCTCAGCTCCCAGTTAGACTTTGGATGCTGCTGCAGTATATACCGGTATATGTGTATGTATAAATAAAAATAAGACTTACAAACAGAGTTTGAATTTGACACATAAGCAGACGTTATTGTGTGTCTGTCTTTGGTCTTAAAATAGAAAATATTTCATGACAAGAATAGCAGGGAAAACAGAAATTCTGCAATGGTAGTGATTTCAACCCTTCGGATAAGTTATGGACCTGATCCAAAGCCTTTTAAAGTCAATGACAGACTTTCCATTGGCCCAGGCCCTGTATTACTGTTGACAGTTAGTATTGAAAAACCTCTAACATCTAAAATCATATGAATGAATGAACAAATGATGAATATGATAAAAGCTGAAGTAGTTTGTGCAACTAGGTACAGTGATATTTAAATCTACAAGACAATTATGGGGTTTTTTGGGCATGCATTTTCAAGTTTGACACACAGCCATTTTCACTGTTAGCCTAAAAAATGGTACAGTGCTCCTTGTGTACCTCACTGAGTTTTAATTACTTAAAAGAAAGAATGTTGTCGCTGGGTTTGTTAGCCTTTTTGTTGATCAAGACATGATCCTTGCAATTTCACTGGTGCCAAAGGTTCTGATGTGAACTCCGTTGCTATCGCAATGTGAATAAGGCTGAAAGGCATTTGGGATAACAGTGTAGTGTGAAGGTGCATAATATAACTCCATGTACAGTAATGCCTTTTAGCCTGAGATCTTAGCGACTTGGATTAGCCACAATACAATTGACCAGTGATTGTAAAAGAATTAAAGGAGGGTTGTAAATCAGCCAAGTGTTGTCATTTAAAAGATACAGACAGGAATGTTGTACCACTCAATTCATTCACTGCTAGCGCTATTAACAACTTAAACTCCCTAGGCTGTAAGCACAGAGGAAGTAGTATATTTGTTAATTACATGTTAAACAAGGACAGAAAAGGACAACAAGGAGCATCTGGTAATAACTCACACAATTTTTTGTGATTCTTATGTCTTCAGTTTGCATATGTGATGCTATATTGATTTTCTGTAAGCTATTTATATGCTTATTTTTTGCTATTTTATCACAAATGAAAACCAATGAAGCAACCATTTTTGTGAAACATTTTAGCAAAGCTGTCGAATTATCTCTGAAAAGTCTAGACTAAGCTTCAACCCCTACCCTCCCAAAAAGCTATATGTTTTAAGATCCTGAATCAGGACACAGAAATTGCAAAGGAACACTCCTGAGTCCTATAATCCTAGTCTTGCCTCCATGACATGCTGCTGATATGACCGTGGGGCATGTTTAGGGTTGATTTATTGATTATGTTAATAAGTTGTATTACTCTCCTAGACAGCTGCTCCTCTGATTCGTATGCCATTTATATTTGAGAATGAAGTACATCCAGTATTCCACAGGAAAGGCCCCTTTTGGGAAATGTGGGTGCACCTGCTTCAAGCAGAACCATTTGAATGTAACAGCATAGATTCCTTGCCTCACAACACTGCAAGGAACTCAGTATTTTGCCATTAAAAAGCCTTTTCTTTGTGCCTGGAGATCTGCAGAGTCACTGGTGGGGAAGGCAGTGTTGTGACTGGGGTCATTGTTTCCCCAAGAAATTCATCTAAAACATGCCTCCCCCCAAGGTCTATCTGTTTGTTTTCCCCAGTTTTCATTCCTTGAAGTGGGACTGTGAGGACAAACAATTCAGCTAGTGTCTTCTACCATCTTTCTCCCAAACACAGGAAACATCTGCACTGATCATTTCCACTCCCATTCCTAGGAGTGAGAATTGCAGTTCTTCTAGTCACTGGCTGGGGACAGAATAACATTGCAGGAAAGATTAATTTGCTTATTGTTTGTAGGCTGGTTGTAGATGAAAGGTACCAGTGAGAAATATTGCATTGTGACTACTGTTGGATGAAGTGCCCAAGGTTTATACCAAGCTCATTGTAATAATAAGCAGGACCAAGCACTCTTGCCCTATAAAAACAAACATGACTTCAGATGAAATTTAATTCAAAGCCCCTCCTTCTGAGGTCAAGGTTAGGATCGTGATACGGGGGTGAAGTGTGCATAAATGTGGGTCGCAGGAAAAAAGACAAAATGGTGGGTCACCTTATTACAGGCCATCCTCGCTATAAGTCCAAGATACACTCCAATAAACCTTGGACTTACAGCGAAACAACTTAAAGCAGGGATTTTTTTCCCTGGGACTGACTTTCCTTTGTGCAAATTAGGGGTTTGGGTTTTTTTGCACAACTTAAGAGCGGGGAATGGGAGGACTTATAATGCATCGGTTCCTATAAGCATCAATGACTTTAATGTGGAATGGATGTATACCAGGGCAACTTACAGTGGGGATGCCCTGTAAAACATTTGGGAGCCACTGCTCTGTTTAACCACTGAGCCAGGGCAGCACAGCTAGTGCAAACAATCTTCTCCATACTGTCCTACCGATGAGCCTCAGTCTTGACCCAGAGAGTCAGTAATTTTACAGTAAGAAGATAGGACAGTCTTCCTGCAAAGTCCTTTGCATCTCTGCTTCACTTCAACTGACAGCTGGGTGGGTACTTGTCTGTTGGGATGTGGGCAGATTCATCCAAGCCTGTTTCATATAAAGCTGCTGAACAGTTTTCAGATGATAACAACCTTCCGTTGCTATTGATGTAGGTGGATGTGAACTGGTGACCTGGAGGTGAAAGGCTTTTATCCCCGATACTCGATGCATTGATCTCTTGTTCTCTTGTGAAATCAACCTTATGACATAGATAAATTGGGACACCTTACAGCTGCCCTGAATCACCTGACCTTTGCCCTTGCTATAATGTATGGAAGCTATTTGATTTAGTTTATTCATGAAACTACCTGTCTTTCCCATCAATGGCTGCCTCCAGACATTGGCATGTAAATAAGGCATGGGAAGAGGAAGGGAATAGTGAAATGTCTGAGTTCTCATCCTGCACAATCCCTGTTTCCATATATTGGGTTCTGAATAAGGTTAGAATGATGTTTAAACCTGTGAGTGAGCCATATGTGCTGGATGGTATCTTTATTTCACCATGATCTGAGCTCAATATCAACTCCTGAAAACAAAATGAGATCCTCTTAGGTTCTCTTATCAGTCAGATAAGGGCATACAGTTAGTTAAATGTACTCAGCTCCACTACCATCCTCTTCCAATCCACATCTGCCTGATAAAGGATTCCTTAGGTGCTCTTAATAGTTTGACACAAAGTCATGCTGTGTTATGTGAAGTTATAGCTGAAATATGCTAATGAAAAATAAGTGGACAAAGCTGATTGTCAGTGAAAATAGAGTAACAATAGGGGATGCGATGTGGATAGCTGTGTTGGAGGGAACTTGCAGTAGGGAGATCTTAGGAGAATGTAGAGAAGCTGGTGTGTGGTAGTGAAAGGAGGCAGTTTTGATTTTTTTTAAAGGCTTTTCAAATAAAAGAACTTATAAAAGTGCAGCTTCTGAGTCCTTTTCTAAGTGAGTGGTCAATAGCAAATGAATCTGAAATACTTATCAGTTCTCTTGTGTGCTGAAATGATTAGTGTCAATTGTAGTAGGTGGTGCTATCTTTTTCCTTAGCATTGTCTTGTGCATTACTGTGTAGTGGTATCTGATCTGAGGGCTTTAGGATGAAGTAGTGAGATTAAGTGGCCTGCATTGTGCAGGGGGTCAGACAGATGATCATAATGGTCCCTTCTGACCTTAAAGACTATGAGTCTATAAGTAAAGTCCTGCCTGTGTATGCTGGAGTTGCTGCTTGCAACAAATCCCTGTGATTCTATAAGTGAGGCTGTGTCTACACTACAAAGAAAAGCTGGAAAAGATACGCAAATTGCAAACTGCAATTTGCGTATCTTTTCTGCTTTTCTTCCGAAATAGGCTTCTCCGATATTTGGCCCATCTACATGGGGCCACATGCCAGGAAAAAAAACATTTTTTGGAATATCCCTTCTTCCTCGTAAAACAAGGCTTACAAGGATGCTGAAAAAATGCGTCTACTTTTCCGAAATTTTTTTCGGAAAAGAAATGCGTTCCTTGGATGTGGCAGAGCTTTTCTGGGATACCTCCAGATCCCGGAAAAGCTCTGTAGTCTAGATGTAACCTGAGTATTACAACACATAGCAGTGGCTGGAACACCACAATGCTGCTGGTATGGATTTAGGAGTTGAAATAAGTGTGATCTATAGTGAACACCCAGTTCTGAAAGGGAAAAAGATTTGTACTATGGGAGAGAAACTGATGACTATTAATCATTAGCCACTGCACACCTCAGAAGATTGCTGTGCTGCCCTGGATTTGCAGGATACCTGCATCTACCAGGCAATACATCTAGGAAGTATCTTTGCTTTATAGCAAGACACATCCTCTATCAGTACATAGTGCGCTCCTTTGGCCTGTCATTGGCCTCTAAGATTGTCACAAAATGCAGGACGGTAGGAGTGGCTCACATGCACCACCTAGACGTCCACATT